CTAGCGCATACTCTATGATTGCATTATCTGGGGTGAGAAGGATAAGACCCGCTCCGCTTCCTTTGGTGTTGGATGAACCATCAACAAAGAGTTTCCATTTGGGGTGAGCCTCCACGGTCGGACGGTCCCCTTTAGCATTTTCGGGGGCTCGGTAGAGGGCTCGACTAAAGGTGCACTCTACTACGAAGTCTGCTAGGGCTTGTACTTTGATGGCCGGCCTCAACTGGTACTGCATGTCAAATTCAGAGAGCTTGATGACCCAATTGGTCAAGTGCCCTGAGGTCTTAGGCTTGGTGAGGACAACCCTAAGAGGTTGGTTCATCAGGACCGCTATAGTATGAGCTTGAAAATACGGTCTGAGCTTTCTAGCCGAGACTACGAGGGTGAAGGCCAGTTTCTCCACCTCGGGATATATGGTTTCAACGTCGCAGAGGACCTTGCTAATGTAGTATATCGGCTTCTGCGTTTCGTGTTCTTTTATCAGAACTGAGCTGACTGCCTCGTCCACGACTGACAGGTATAGATATAGGGTTTCTCCTGGAGTTGGCTTAGCGAGGAGGGGAGGTGAGGCGAGGTAGACCTTTAGCTCGTCAAAGGCACGCTAGCATTCCTCTGTCCACTGAAAATCCTTCAACTTTTTGATGAAGTGGAGGAAGGGAAGGCAGCGATCAGCTAACTTCGACGTGAAGCTGTTGAGAGCAGCTATTCGACCGGTGAGTCTCTGAGTTTCCTTCACCGACCGGGGGGGTGCCATGTCCAATATGGCCTGTATCTTCTCCGGGTTAGCCTTAATGCCTCTTTGAGTAATGACGAAGCCTAAGAATTTGCTTGAGGTGACGCCAAAGGCACACTTGTTGGGATTAAGCTTCATGTTGAACTTTCGCATGGTGTCAAAGGTCTCGGCTAGGTCCGAGGTGTGCATCTCGGCTTTCAGGCTCTTCACCACAATATCGTCTATGTAGGCTTCGACGTTCCTCCCCATCTGATTTTTGAACACTTTGTTGACAAGGCGCTGGTAGGTGTCCCCTGCATTCTTAAGGCCAAAGGACATCACTTTGTAGCAATAAGTGTCGTGTATGGGTGGCAACGAGCCGAACTTTTCACGAGTTACTCGTATTCGAGTCATGAAAAGCTCAGCTCAGCTTGGTTTCAACCGAGCTCGAGCTCAAGTCCAATTCATTGGCTCAATTATTAAACGAGTCGAGCTCGAGCCTACTGGAGCTCGGCTTACGAGGCTCATGAGCTGGTTCGAATATATATATATATAATTATTATAATTAGTTTATAATTATTAATTATTAATTTTTAAATATCAAATAAAAATATTTTTATATATAATTTTTTTATTTTTATAAAATATTTTTTCTCAAAATCGAGCTCGAGCCTAGTAGTATTCGGCTCGGCTTGGCTCGAATCCACCCCTAGTGACATGCTCGGTGATAAGCGAGGTCTTGTCATCGTCCTCTAGGTGCATCTTTATTTGGTTGTATCCAGAGAAGGCATCCACGAAGTTGAGTAGTTCGTACCTTGTAGTGGCATCGATGAGGTGGTCCATCCTCGGCAAAGGAAAACTATCCTTAGGGCAGGCTCGGTTAAGGTCCGTGAAATTAATACAGATCCGCCATTTTCCATTAGCTTTCTTTACTAAAACCACATTTGACAACCAGTTAGGGTAGTATACCTCTCGGATGAAGACGACATCAAGTAGCTTGCCAACTTCCTCTCCTATGGCCTTCCAACACTCCGATGCAAAGTTCCTTTGCTTTTGACGAACTAGCCTAGAGCTCGGGTCCATGCTCAACTTGTGAGTGATGACCGAAGGGTCAATTCCGGGTATGTCAACGGCGGACCAAGCAAAGACATCGGCTAGCTGGAGGCACTCAGGCGCTATCTTCATCCTCTCAAAAGCTTCATAGAAGAGGATGTCAGCCGAGGAACCATTGTCGATGAGAATCCTTTTAGCTATGAAGTTTGCGACGACAACCGAGATCACGAGAGCATCATCATGGGGGACTGTGACCCCCTTTAAGTCCTCGTCCATAAAGGAGAGGGTTTCCTGCTGTTTTGTCTTCTTGAGGGCAGGCCTTTGGATGTTTAGCTGCTTGGTGTAGGCCTTGTAGGCCGAGGCCCCCACACAAGGTCGTGCCCCTGGCGATGACATCAATGACTTTGGCTATCTGCTGGTGCTGCTGTTGTTGCTGGGAGGAGGAGGCATCGGGCCCTCCACCCACGAACTACTTAAGGTGTCCTCTTTGGATGAGGGACTCTATCTCATTTTTCAAGTCATAGCAATCCTTAGTGTCATGCCGAATGCCACGGTGGTACTTGCAGTATTTCTTGGGATTTCCCCTCTTAGGGTTCCTCTTCATCTTTTCAGGCCACTTCATAAACTTCTCCCCGATCTGCATCAATATCTGCATCCGGGTGGAGTTGAGTGGTGTGTATTAGTTGTAAGCCAGGGCCGAGGCCGGTGGCTTCTTATGGTCCTTACTATTGTTGTTGTTGAGGTGGTGGTGGTCTCCGCCCTTCCTCTTCTTCTCAGAAGGCCCGTTGTGGTGCTCGGCTTCCCTTTCTTGGTGGTCTCTGACCGAAACCTCTTCGGCCGCAATGTACTTTTGGGCCTTCTTGAGGAACTCGAGGTTCGTCTTCAGCGAGGTCTTGGCGACTGAGCACTTTAGGGCTGAACCAGGGTGGAGCCCATTAATGGCAACGTGCATAGAGACCATGGAGTCGAGGTCATGGACCTCGAGCTCTTCGTTCTTGAAGCGGTCGATGTAGGACCTCAGACCGAGGTGGGAGGTTGGAGAACCAACGACAAACAACTCCCCTGAAAGTGGCCTAGAAAGTCTGGCACGTCAAGGCATCGAAATACCCATTGAGTGTCATTAGCACTCTGAAACTTTCCAGGTGGTCGTCGGGGTCTGAGTTCTCATCATACATCTCCAGTGTGGGAGTTTTAGGGCTTGGAGATGATATTCGAGGTGAAGGCATCCATTTTCCTTGTCAGATTGCTTTGATCGGCCGAGGCGTCAGCTCGGCTCTCTCGAACCTAGCGAAGCTCGTCCTTGATGGCCCTGAGCTTGATCCGTAGTTCCGTAATCTGAGGGTTGGTTGGGGCTTGCCACGGAGGTCTGAGACCGGTGCAGAGAGGCACGGCATCGACCCTCAGCCCTTGAGTGGGCGCTATGACAACCGAGGTGCCCGCCTTCGTCCGTTGTTCAGAAGGTTGGCAGCTATCTTCGGACCATGCTGGCTCTTCCTCCCTTCGGTTGGGAAGTCTTTTGTTCCTATGTGGTGGGCTAGCGGGTTGACTACTACCGAACTCGGCGGGCTCGGCCCGTTGGGGGTCGGCTAGGCGGAGTGCTGGGGGCTCAATGTGCTGACGCTGGCCCTAGTGATCTGACACCCCGGTGGGGCGGTCGCCTTGGGAGAGACCTCCTACCTGGGGGCAAGCTTGTTCCACGCGCTGCGTGAGGTATTCCAGATGATCGAGGACCAACTGAAACTGATCATTTGTGACCAGGTTCTGGGGGTTCCTGGCTCTTTGTACCATTATGTCTGAAGCTTAGGACATCTTGGGTTTATAGTGTTTTAGGGGGTCGTCTTAGTGACGTTTCCCACAGACGGCGCCAATTGTTGATGCTCGGTTTGGATGAGGGCAACAAAGTAAATTCACTCCCAAGCTTTGAAGGAGGGCCAAAGGCTCTGAGGGTCCACAGGAGACGAGTTGAGGCCGTGGCGAATCGCTCCTTCGGATACTATAGAAGCTGAGGGCTAGTACTGAGAAGGGCGTTCGAGGGAGGATGGAGTGCAGTTCCTATAGCGGTGAATCTGCAAGGGAGGTGTTAGAGGCCTCGTGTGAGGACCCGAGGCGAGGACTTCGACGGTCAAGTTAGTACGTGCGCAAGGTAAGTGGGGGGTGCGTTGTATTTATAGTTGGAGCTTCCAAGAGGTAGTTGGGCTCGGATGGTCCAGATGCGAGCCGTACAAGGGCCTGTCGAGATGTTCTACCGGAGCCACGCAGTGCCCTACAATTGGGCGCGCCTGGTCCACGTCAGGTAACCCTGAGCATCCCCATGGCGAGCCTATGCTGACACCCTCTAGTTGACACATGTCAACCCCATACAGGCCAGCCGAATGCACCAACATCAAGAGGTTTTTTCATATCCGAAGCATCATCGTTGGAGCTGCGATCCCCTTCCTCTTCCTGAATTTTTTATTAGATTTTATTTTAAAAATTTGAGAAATAGTGAAAGACAAATTTGATATTTCATTTATTTCCGTTAAAACTTAAAGCAATGCCAATTTTTAGAAACAGTAGGGACACTTTAAGACAATATTAATGATAGAATTAATCAATTAGATAAACCATATACATAGTTAAAAAATTTACCCTTATAAATATATTATAATAATAAGCCAAATTACTTTAAACACCCTATCAACCTGCATTTCAATATCTTTTTGTGCTGACAAAACACTTGTAAATCAAGACCCACTTGTAAAAACGCTCCAATGTCGAACACCCACATAATGTTTTGATGGCAAAAGGTTCTTTCGCATTAACTGCCACAATATACTTTTTTTATTAAAATGCTGCCACAATATACTTCGGATGTTAGATTGTGATCTCCTTAAGCTTATACGTAGGTAGATTATGTCATTTCAGGATCCCACTCAATGTTCCCGATCTCTGTAACCGGAACTCCATTGTGGCACTAATCATCATTATCATCAATTTGACCTCGACCAAAAATGAGAAATAGATTTCTACCAAAAACAAGAAAATACATATCAGGACCAAGGTTCAAGTATCGATACATATTGACTGATATCGGTTTTGAAGAAAAGAAAAAAAGTAAAAAAAAACACTATCGATATCACACGATACGCCCCTACTGGCGTATTGATCAGGACATATCGCAGCCTACTGGCGTATTGATCAGGACATATCGCAGAAGACCACATAGACATCTGGAAGTTGTCCTAACATAATAAAAAATACCGAATAAGGGATTCTAACCATTTGAAAGTTGAATCATTCACATCATTCTGACATCATAGTTACAAATCAAAGAATTTCATTTGGGTTCATTCTAGGACTAATCTCCTACATGCTGCAATCCCGCAATACCTGTTCCTGGGAGTGATCCTCGACCTCGAACAACAAATGACAGAAATTGAAAAGAAAATTAGACTCGGCACTAGGGGAAGTGTGGGGCATAAGAGGTAACATGTAAGATTAGAAACCATGCATATGAAACCGGGTTAAGAACTTGAAATTTCCCACTCGTTTATGAACCGGAATGTAGCAAGTATTCCTTTCCTTTTCCTTTTTATTGTTTCTATTCAATCAGCCTCTAGAGCCCTTCAACCAAGCGCTTGTGACTTAGGGAGGCAGAATGGGCTGAAGGGTGTTCAACCTAGAGAGCATGCAGCAAACTAACAGGATTTCAATCCTGTGACATTTCTGAAAAGGTTGCTCTATGCCAAACACCAACTCTACTAAACCAGAGGTGGTCAGGAAGACTTGTAAAACTCCAAATTATTTTCCTTACTCTTAAGTATAGCTTCTCTGAATTCCAAAGCTTGGATATCACAAAGAAAAAACAAAAAAAGCTTAGAAAAAGCAACTTATGTGGTAATGGCATCCGATCTAAGACCTCTAACATCTGAATTTTTCTTTTTGGTAGTTACCTCTAGCATCTGATCTACAAGCCCAATTTCTTTACAAAAGACAGTAAGCAATCTGCCAAAGTGGCAAAGGGACAGAAAACCATCAGCGTTCCATCTTGTATCTTTCCCAAAATTCAACAACACTCTAGCATTTGCGAAGTAATTGAAAATGGACTATGGATGTTCCCTTGCAACATTGGAGCTTCCTTTCCCTTTTTCACTTTCTTGAGATTCTTTCTCTGAGCCAAAAACAAGACTTTTAACAGAATGTTCTGCTGATTTTAAAGCCCTCTTGATCTGCCATTGAAACCAATCAGAATTCAGAACTCAAAAATAACATGTGTAATGGTCAAAGTAAAATTTCTAACAAGCCAAGCTAAAGCCAAAGAGACTGACACTAAAACCCAAATGCACCACAATTCTATCAAGCAAAAATAGCAACCCTTCAGATTTTTTTTTTTTTTTGAAAATAACAACCCTTCAGATCGGGAAGAAGTTGAATGGCTTTATCATAATGTATGAATTACTTCAAGTGTTTTCACAGTTAGCAGAAATATACTCGTAACATTCTTAGACTTCGGTACAAACTAGAACTTAAGGTTTAAGTAGGTTGACATCGCTAGAAAATTAGAAGTTTGAGAAGAAAAAACATTAATGGAGCGCTTAAAGAGCACCTAGAATGAAATGAATGTAGACTGTACTGTAGTTTCCATTGTATTTGAGGCAAACTTCATCATAAAAAAATGGATCCATCTCCTGTTGCTAAGAAGTGATGGGCATAAAATCATTTCTGGATTTCATAAGTCGTTCCCTTAACAAGCGGAAATAACTCCAATTACATGATGATATTGTGGGTTCAAATGATACGAAAACTAAAATCAGATCATCTAGAAAAAAAGAAACAACCGGAACTTCAAATGCAAATAAAACTAATGTAAATACAGATACTACACACCATTCAAATTCAAATAAAGGTTGAGAGGAGAGGAAAAGAGCCCTTCGTGGTTCAGAAGTGAAATTAAAAAATTCAGAAGCCTGTCAAAAGATATGCAAACTCTAATCCGGTGGCTTCCAAGATCGGCAAACAGTCTAGCAGATCAATTAGCAAAACAAGGGGTTAGAAGAGATTAGATTTTCTGGGCTTGGTTGTAATCCTAATAGGGTTTTTCTGGAGTTGTCTCTAGCCGAGGCTGCTCTCCTTTGTAAATTTTCTCTATATTAATAAAGCTTTCATTGATTTTACTGATAAAAAAAAATCAAATAAAGCTAATGTAAATACAGATAGTACACACCATTTAGAACAAATAGTACAAGTTTGCAAGGAAAGGATAAAAAGAATAAAAACCTATTGGGATGTTTCAGAGGAAAACCTAAAACAGCATTATCATGAGTATCATAAACTTACCAAATCATTGTATGCTTAACAGTAACAGTGGTTATGACTTATGAGGACCCAAAGAACTGCAGAAGGCCGGCAATATATAGAAATCCACAAGAAAATTTTCAATATGGAACAAAGATAAATTCAGTTCATCCTCCCTAGATTAGGAATTGAATTTCATTGTTTAATGGAAATGATAAAAAAAAAAAAGTATAACCATGAACTTACAGGATCAAGGACGTTAGGTTCGGGGCCGTAGTCGGCAGTGAGAAGGAAATAGGAAGCAGTTATAGTGGCCACCATAGTCGCTCTTCTAACGAGTTTGTCCGTCTTCGGATCCATGCGTAGTTCATTAAACGTTCGGTGGAAGTCGAAGAAAATGGAAGAGCCTGAGACTTAAGAAAGGGCAACTCGTTTGATGGGCTTCACCTGAATCACCCGATATGACCACAGCATCCCTGATAACTTTATGCAAATACAGGGATTATCACTTATCAGTAGACCTGTTCATGTGCCGGCTAGCCCGACGGGCCGGGCTGACCCCCAGACGGACTTGAGCATGTGTTTTAGCCCACGGGCTTGACCCTCGGGCCTAAAAGCTCGAGCCCGATTATTTTACGTGTCGGGTTCGGGGGTTTGTTAAAAAAGGCCGATCCGAGCCCGACCCGGCCCGACTTTTCCTAAACTGCCTAATCCTAACCCTAAATACTTAAAAATTTTCTTTTCATTCTCCTTTCTCACTCTCACTCTCAGAAGCAGCTCTCATTTCTCCCTCTCAACTCTTAGAACCGGCGAACCCAGTTGCACCTGTGAACTCGGTCACCGGCAGCCAACGCCACCAGAAGTAGTCATCTCTCTCTTCGGCGGTGATCTCTCTCTCTCTCTCTCTCTCTCCAGCCAGCACCGTTTTCATCTTCTTTCTTCTCATTCTCAGTTCTCTCTCTTCTTAGAACTAGGTCTTCTATCTTCTCAATTCTCTCTACAACTGGCGCCACCAGAACCCAGGCGCACCATTTTCGTTCTACGAACTCAAGCATCGGCGGCTGGCGCTACCAGATCTAGATCGTCTCTCTCTCTCAAGCGGTGAGTTCTCTTTCTCTCTCTCTCTTTGGCCGGCACTGTTGTCATCTTCTATCTTCTCACTTTCTCAGTTTCTATTCTCACTCTCAGACTCCCAGGAATCGGCGAACTCAACAGGCACCATTCTCTCAATCCTCAGAGGGCACCGGTGCTCAGACTCCCAGGTCGGGCTTCGGGCTTTTTATGAGGGCCGGACTTGGGCCCAAGTTTTAGGCCTGTTGGTCGGACCGGGCTCGGGCCTGAAAAATTTATGTTAATAAAGAGCAAAAGCCCGGCCCGAGCCCGGCTCGGCCCATGAACAAATCTACTTACCAGGTGTTATTTTTTACTTTTTGCGACTCTGGTAACTTACAAAAACCCCCCGTACTATGCGTTAGTGACAAAGACCCTCTTCATTCAACTTTTATGTTGTAATAAATACCCTCTCGGACGTTAAGCCAGATGACGGAAGGTATCAAATTACCAAAATACCCTATTAAATTTTCTCTATTTTTTTTACCATTTCCTCTTAAAATCTAATTAACCCAAAAATACCTTTGATCATCATCAAAATAGGAAAAAGTTTGACTTTCTTTGGTGAAAATTTTGACTTTCTCATCAATAATCGTCATTGGAAAAAGAAAAAAATCTCCATCAGGGCAGATTTGCCCCTCCACTAGCATCATGACACATGGCATCTCGGAACAACTGGGTGACTCCCAGAACCACCTAGGCGACAACTTGCCTTAGCCAAAATGATGGAGTCCTAGCTAGCGGCCTAGCACTGTTGCCGATCTGGCGACTTGCCCCTGTTGTCGACTTGGCGACCTGCCTCCACCGCCGACTTGGTAGAAACTTAGCCAACGACCTCGTCCACGACTCAGGGCGGTTAATAGCACCTCATCTAGGACCGACCTGTGGTACCTCGTCAGTATCGGTTGAAGCAACCTCGACGTGAGGAGCGACCTCCCTCGAGGGCTTGCCGACTTGATTGAGGTCCAGGTGGCGACCTATGAGACGTGCTCGGTGTTGATTTCTGTGTGCATCCCATCACTCCCGGGTCCACAAGACCACAACTACAAAGGTACTTCAAAGTTGGAAGTTAGACTGAACACAGGGCATCTTCTTGCTAGGCCATCTTCTGTCTTTCAGGCAAAGACCTGTTAAAGTCCTTGCCATATCTAAGGTGGGAAGTAAATAATATAGCTACACGAGTACAATGATGTGGCTATTAAGTCCTTGTTTGGTTTTGACCAAGCACCGAGTCCCAGTTCAATGATATACTGATGAAACAGAAAACTCCTTATATTCTGGAGTTGGATGATCTGTCATACTTGAATTTAATGAGGTCTTAGGCTAGTCCAGTTGGGTCTTGGGTCTGCCCAAACCCATTGGCAACCCTATAAATGATATGGTTGCATGAGTATCGAACAATACCATTAAATAAATTTTTTGGTAGAGTAGTCTCTGTTAATGCTCAAATATTTTCCCATCATACCATATGGACAGACCTCATCCGCCAGTTGCTCAGAGAAAAGTCCCACCCTACTTTTAATGCTGAGATAAAGATAAAATAGCAAGTCCTCCTAAACGTCACAAAGGATGGGTTAAAAACACAACAAACAGATAGTGGTAACAATGTAAACAAATGGACAACTCACAAATCACAGAAGACTAGGATTATAGCCACCAACATAATGTGAAAGTGGTAAAGAAATAGTATTCAAATCACAACCAAAGGTCTGAATCCTCAGAACCAGTAAACTGATAACCTTGTAGAACAACTTAGGAGAAGCCCAAACATAAGAACACTTTCACATACCATGACAACATCGAGGAACTAAATCTTAACTACCAACTTTTAGGCATAACATCAACAAAAGAGGTAGAAAGACAAGCATCACTCCATATTACACAACACAAATATAGTAGATATTTACAAAGCATGATTTCCTATAGATGAAGATGAATTTAGCGACAAGTTAAGGACGCATGCATTGCTTTTTATCAGTTTGTAAGATACATTTATTGTCAACCTAGTCACACCATGAGCCCCTTGAACACTGGATATCTCAAGTAAAGCAAACCATCAATCATATGACAAATGAATGAACCAAAAACCAGCACTAGGACTAAAAACAATAGGTAAGTCAACTTTCTCAGAATAAAATGTGCAGACCATGCATCAACCAATTAGACCAGGTATTCTACACCAAGTCACAATTGACATGTAGAGATGAAAATGCAAGGAGACAAAACGCTTGGTTTGACTTATCCCTTTAAAAGATTCAAAGGTCTGGAACACCAAGCTATTGTTTATTCCTCTGAAAGTTTGAAGCACCAAGTTATTGTTCATTCCTAAGAAGAGTCTCAAATGCTTAGATTAAAACATCATCAAAATACACAAATGCTGATTTTGTCCCAGAGTTCAAAATCAATTAAAATCCCAAACCTTAATACGGAGGAAACAACACTTTCAACAGAAATAAGTTTATGCATTATGTGCCATATCACTAGAATCAAGAGCAAAACATTCACTATGAAAGATGCTAGTGATAAAATGTGCACCGAAAGACGATTGCTGGATATTGATTAACTGTATCCTTCTACATATTATTATTTTGTGAACTCAATAGATTTTTATACATTTTGGAATTTATAAAGTACAATCATATAAGGTCATTATTTATTAAATCCTATGGAGTACAATTATATATGGTCATTCAATAAACCCTATGGAGTTGGGCATAAGAAATCTATGGTGGCCAAACAAATACTCTCTTGGTTCTGTGATCAATACAATTTGGTAACCAGTGGGCCAGAGAAAAAAATAATTGGCTAAACTAAAACAAGATACTAACATATCAAATGAGAACCACAGCATAATGAGATCAAAATTACAGGACAAGGCATCAACATTTTAATGGAGATATCCTTGGCAAAAAGACGACTTGAGATTTAAGAGGAAGCTATATCATTTGCCCATCTTACTACATCTTTGTATGTATTTGGCATCTTAGCATCTTAGTCTAAGGAGTTCGTTCATCCATGTGGGTTTCCCCTATAAAAGGTTGTTATCCTATCAACTCTCTAAAGTTCACTTCTCAGTAATATCATATATCAACCACAGTAGATGATGTTCGTGATGAGTCAGCATATGCAAATATTAAATTCCCTAGAATTCTTATAGTTACAGGTAGCAACCGTAAACAGGATTTGCACATTGAGCTGCCATCAACACAAATGATCCAGTGGAACCAAACACCAAGCTAACAACTTGATATCCCCATGAACTCTCAAAAGCATGTCAGCAACAGAACACAATTGAAGGAACTGATAATTATAATTACAACCAAGCAGATGCAAACTTCCAGGCACTACAGAAGAGTAACATAAGTAATAAACATATGCAAAACTCTCTATACGCATTAGAGAAGAAGAAGAAGAAGAAGAAGAGAGGTTCAGATTCGAACCAGATGAAACCGCAAGTTTCAGATTCGAATTTATCTCTTCTTTTCACTTCTAGTTGCTGGAATTTGATAAATTGATTTACTATTTGAACCAGATGAAACCGCAAGTTTCAGATTCGAATTTATCACTGCTTTTCACTTCTAGTTGCTGGAATTTGATAAATTGATTTGCTATACCGTTGTTTCTTCAGAACATGAAAATCTCGATGGAAGGAGAGGCTTTTGATTTTTTTTCTCACATTTACTTTCATTTTTGAGGGAAGTGGTTTCCGACCGAAATGGAAGGATCCCGCTTCCTCATTTTCATGATTTTAAATCCTCCCATTTTCCTTCCTTTTCTTCATTTATGATCAAACCAAGAAAGGGAAGATTTGGAATCTTTTGGAATATTCCAAAATTTCCCTTCCTTTCCTTCAAACCAAACACAGCCTAAGAGAACGGTTTTCAAAATCAGACCAGACTTGACGGTTGGATTGATTGATCTGGGAACTGGTCATTAATCCAGGTCTGGTTTTGAATCCCAAACCCATCTAACCAGGGTTTGAATCAGACGATCAGATCATTTGTCTCAAGAATTGGTTGGCGGTCAAAGTGATTTCATTTCCGGGTCGGTTTTTAAAACCATGATTAAGGAGTTTATTTTTATGGTAATTTCAAAATGAAGTAAAGAGTTCAGTTTTATGTTAATTCAATATGCCGTAAAGGCATAATAGGGGAAGAACTTTGACCAATCAGTAGGAACCCAATCCTAACTCTAGATTTATCATTTCATTTTAGCTTTAATGACCAGAGGTTAAAAATACCTATGCTTAAAATGCGCCTTTTTAAGTGGCATTTGATTTTTTTTTGGTAGGTTTCAAAAAAATGTCATGAGACAATTAATATTCAAGACAATGATATCTGGGAGGTCATTCTCATACCTCCACATTTGAATTAAATAATCAAATATGATAACTCATTTTCTTATCTATAAAATAAAGCCTTCTAACAAACTTGACAAATCAAAATTGCAACTTAAGAACCTCCCAAGCCATGTCGGGGGTTTGGCTGCTAATTTCCATTTCGGGTATCAAAACTGAGTTATTAGGCCCACGCAGGTCAGATGCTCGGCCAATGCTCTCTCTGAATTCTGAAAGATTACATTTCATGTTTCCTTTTGCTCTAAGCTAATAACTTGTGCACAGTGATGATAACCTTGAAAATTTTCCAAAGGGATTGCTTTTCTCCACTTGTGTGATCTCTCCAAATCTTCTTTTTCTCCCATGTATACCCGTTGTAAACAGAATCAACCTTCATAAAAAGAATGGGATCTTTAAATTAGCAATATTTTGAGTGCTTTCTCGTTCACTGCTCTCGGCAATCTCCTTGAGACTACACCAAGATCTTCTCTTCCTCTTACTTGAACCACCTGCAGAGACTACACTCCCAGCACTCATGGCTGCAGAGTTGCTTTCAGTTTCTATTGCCTTGTTAGATCCTGCACGGTTCTGCCTTCTCCTCTTTGCCTTTCCCTCCAACAAGAGAGTACGAGTTCCCACCAAAGGAGTTGGTGGACTGTTCTCTTGGGAAACCTCTCCCATTGTTTCTGAAAGAGTTGTGGGACCATTGGAATTTGATTCTAAGATGGATTTCGTTTTAGAAGAGTTTATTTCATCCAACATTTTAATAGCTCCTCTTTTTTCCATGCTTTTAGAGGTGACAACCTTCTGATTGGAGCTCCCAGGTTTCAATTTTGAAGCTGGTTTTGGTTTAGAAGCACATATCTCTTTCATGTAACCTTTTGGGGTCCCTCTTTTCAGGTTGCGGTGTGAACAGAACTTACATGTATAAACCACATTGTTCTGTGTGGGAATGTTCAATTTCTTGTGATTTTGTTTCCGCAACTTGGCACGGTTCTTTTCAATTCGCACTGTGCAGTTATAGCCAGGCTGAAGAATTGATTCGCATCTGCATAACAATCATAAGAAGCAGTCAGATCCATTACAGTTCATACAGAAATATAAGAAGTTTCATTTCTTCTACTTGTTTTGTATATAGTTGACTGCTCATTAAAGGACAGAGTGGCATATTTAAATGGACATTCAATGCATCTTAGGTCTTTGAAGTTGCTAGATCCATATAGATTATACATATCTTCTTACTAGATGATAGATTCCATCACCCAACCAAAAAATATTATGGCTAAAGTTATGTACCCAAGGGCTCCAAGGATTAACAAAAAGGTACTACCAAAGAAGAATATAGTCATAACCCTTAAAAAACTTAATAGTAAAATGCCATTACACAATGTTGGTCCCAGCTGTCTGGGGTCTTAGGAGAGGTGGACTGAATACAGACCTAACCTTTTTTACACGTAGTGGCTGCTCTCAGATTCAAACCTACATGATTGTCAGCCCGAGATTTTACCATTAGCCCAAATAATGCCCCCTTAAAAGAAAATAAGAAATACTTAAGGTAATTCACATGTATTTCTTAGACATAAGCTTCAATTCTTCCACACCAGTCCTCTCCAGTCTATCTGACAATCATGAATATGTATGACTCTCTATGTTGTTCTGATCAACAACAGCAAAACTCTATATCACCCCAGAAATATACCCTGGCTTATGAGCTCCACAAACATAACACATTACTGAAATTGAGACAGAATAAATAGGTACAACATTTTATATGCTTGCACAGAGACAATAATCCCCAACATACCCCTCGCAAGGCCCCAGATAGTTGGAACTAACATTGGCTAATAGCCTTTTTAGACTAGCTTTATTGGTCACAAGTCTAGTATAGCTGCACTCTAATGTAGTAATTTTTTATTGGACATATATGAACTCTTTCTTGAGAAAACAAGATATTAATATTTAGTTAGTAAGACAAAGTGACAAACACACTGATGATGCCATGGGGGACTGCCTAGTCTGCCTTGGTGGTTTTTTCTATTGTTTTTTTTATAATCCTTCACTTTTATTAGAAAAACTCCGATGTGCAAAAAAGATCTTTAAAAGGGTTTTATAGACCTTAAACCTGTCAAACAGATTATTCAAATTCAGAAATTAGAAAAGTAAAATAAAAGAACCTAATGTTTTAATCTCAAGCTTGTAATAGAAATCCCTAATTTCAACTAGTGTATGAAGGGCATTTCCTTAACATAAGAGGCACATTAAGATCTGAAGCATATGACATCTTTTGAGCTATGAGCCATAATATTAAGGGCTCACCTTGAACCTGAAACCATAGGCTTGACATGCCCACTAACCCACTCCCACAAATAGTTACCTCGTTTTTATTCAATTCAATGAGACAACTATTAGTGTATCTTACAACACTTTCTCCTAAGCCAGAATTCAACCTTTGGAACCCCAAACTGAATCCAAAGTGAGAATCTAATTGTCTAAAATGCAGTTTGTTGACCAATTACACAATGGGTTGAGCTTTGTGACTTCATTTTCTGAGTTTTAGAGGGGTGAGAAGTATAGTGGCTATGCACCATATAGTTGTCTTCTTCAAGCAAATATCAACCTGAAAGATAGAGAAGGGAAATTAGTAGTATGGTGTTATTTGATAATAGCTTTCTCAAAATGGAAATGTCTTCATTTAAGAAGAAGCAATTTGAGATATGGATATCAATAATGAAAAAGTGGATATGACACTTGTTTTCAAAATCCAGTGACTAGAATGCAGCTACAAATACAAGAATAGCTATCCTCTCCAATATGCTGCTATCATGCTTTTAGCTTTAATAGTTAAGCTATTTATCCTTTATTATACTTATATACTACTGAACTAAATGAATGGTGTAATTACATGTAGATTAGCATCATAGAGATTGTGATGAGGATCACAAATTATGAATACACGAAGAATTAATCTTGCGATGAGAGCTGCGATGGCACAAAAGGAACTACCAGAACACCTGCGATGAACATTGTATTAGTTGACGAACTCGACAATTGAACAAAATCACAGACCTTTGTGATGACAGAGAATCATTCCAAAATGACAAACACGATCACTTACACCTGCGATGGCCTATGGAGTTTGTCTCATGGTCAGCTGCGAAAGGCAGTGACGACTCACCTCGTCATAGCCAGCCATGTCACCATCCTAAGAGCCTTGTTCCTAACATGTGACAACAAGCAAGCTTGAAAAGGGCCGTAGCCAAGACGTACCACGTGAGAATCTTAAGGGAAGAGGGAATCCTTATCCCAGAAGATCCTCACTGGACACGTGGCGAAACCCCAGTAAAGCTTACTCGTTAAAGACCAAAGAATCGTGATCTACCTTCCCAACGAGAAAAATCCTTATTTGTATGCTTCTCGTTATAGCTTTGGTGGCCTCTCTATAAAAGGGGGAGACTCGAAGGCCCGTGCACGAGATCAATCTCAAGAATCCTTGCCTCCTAGCCTTCTAAGTTCTCTACCTCCCACTTCCTTGCTACTCTTTTCCCCACAAAGCTTCCTTTAGATCCCTACTCTCATAGACCCCTGGTCATCCTCTGTCATTCAAGGAGACCATCCCTTATTGCCTTACCACCCTGCTTACAAATGGTTTAAATTTTACAACACTTTTCATAGCAAATTTTGTTAAAATACACTACTTATGTATTTTTGCTGTGAAGAAAACAGATAAATAGTTAGTAAAATATAGGGACTAAGAGAATATCATATAAAAATGATAAGAAAAAGGAGGGGGGACCGGGGGATGCACATGAGATGATGAGATGAAAAAAAAAAGAAAGAAAGAAAAAGTCCAATCAAGCATGTAAAAAAGTCCTTTCCCATCCTGACTTAGCTAGGAAAGCTGCAGTAGAGATCTAGGAATCCATCTGAATCTGCAAGTTAAGGAAGCTGAAATGTCTACTATTTCATTGAGGATGTGAGAAGCCTCCACGGCTCAGTCTTTCAACAGTAATGAGGTCTACTTGAAGAGATTTTAGTATACGCAGATCCTAAAGAGATTTAACCTCAGACATTGAAATATCATCTGCACTTGAAGGTTTCTGTATTTTCTTTTATTTAGGAAAATCATGAAAACCAATAAAGACAAAATTGATAAATATGGCGACAAGTCACTTATTAGAGAACCTACATGCTCCCAACACCCAAACTATCTAGTACTTAACAATTGTACTAAGTAGTAAGAATGATTTCCCTGAGTACCTAGAGTATTCAACTGGCTTAAGGAAGCACTCCAATTGCAACGTACAAAAGTTACAAAACAAACAAGAAAAAGGGGGAAAAGAAAGAAACATACTTCCAAACAAATATCTTGAAGAAATTGATTGGATTAAGCTGCGAGGTAATGGTTACCAACAACGAAATACGATAGATAAACATAACCAAATTGTACCAACGAAACCACCTCCATATAAAATTCAAACAATTGTCACTACAACAACTAATTGAATATACAGACTCTACAACTAGAAAAGTATATGAACTTCACACACAAACTCTACACATATAGGACCCATTCCAATCAATTTGATTTTCTTTATCTAATTACCATGAGAGGGAGATTACTCAGTTCTGTAAGCCAAAAACGAAAACAATGTCTTACCTCTGGCAAGGAAACAGCGATGACTCGAGCGGCGTCCCCATGGCCTCCCCCCAAGCAGCCAATCGGTGCCCAAAAAAGGCACCCAATGAAGGGATCGCAGCTTCCCCGCCAGTCCATAAAGCCAACTTCTGCAGATGCTCCCTTTTCAATATAGATTTGGCATTGTTGGAACCCCCTTTGTTAAGCTTTCTACCGCTGCTTTCCTCTCTGATTGTTATTGCACCTAGATGCCCAGAAGTTGGAGCTAATCCATGTTTCTTTCCTTGTTTCTTATTCATTTCCTTATCTCTGTTCCGTTATGCCTCCTGGGAATTTAATCGAACACACTACAGGCAACTGACGTCCTATTTGTTGGGTTCCAAGCTGCACGTTCTAGTTCAACACGTAATAAGCAAAGGGAGTTTGGACTTCAAGGGATTCCTTTCTCGCCTCGGGTCGGAATCTGGGAAGAAAGATTGCGCTAGTAGGGGTTTCTAATCTTCTTGGCTTTCCTTGTATAGCCTACCTTGCAACGCAGAAGCCACTGCGAGAAAGCCCTACCAAACGGGCACCGATTCATAAACAGTCCAAGCGGGCACCGATTCATTATTATTATTATTATTATTATTATTATTATTATTATTATTATTATTATTTGTTGATGTACAATTTTTTGTTTTAAAAAAATTAAAAAAGATTTTAATAAATAAAAATAAATTTTGAGTCTTATTATCAATAAAAATAATTTTTTAACATAATTTCTTAAAATATAAAAAAAAAGAGACCACGGAACAAATCTCTCCACCTCCGGTATCTTTCTCTTTCCTCACCCTCACCCTCCTCCTCCTTCTTCTTCCTCTTCTTTCTTCATCAACTTCTTATTTCTTCTTCTATTTGGATTATTTTTTTCTTTCTTTTCTTTCGATCAGTCTTCATGACTTCATGCATCGACAGGCACAAAAGTTGCCAAATCTCTCTTATAGAACCTCCCAACCTCCTGAAAACACCACACTTTCTCCCCAGCCTCTTTTAAGTAGAGGCCGCCGAGACTCGTGGAACTGTGCCTATCGCCGATCTCAATTCTAACGGTGTTTAGGCACCAACCCACCTCCATCCTTTTTTTATTTTCATTTCTCTCCAGCATTGTATCCCACTTCTCTCACATTCAGCCGAACAAGCAACAACCACCAACGTCCAGCTCTAGTCGTTGAGATCACAAACAAGCAACCGGGGGTGGTTCTTCTAAATCTAATAGATCCCAAGGAAAACAACTAGTTTCAGATTGTAAAACCAGAGCTTCTCTGGTTTCTATTGTCGTATTTTATTCACTAACAATACCCAAATATATACACTCGAGACTCTCCTACGTATACAACTGATTCAATTACAATTACAACATAGACTTTCAATCCTAATTGCAATCCATTGTAATCCTAACACCTCCCTCAAGTTGGAGCATGCAGATTGTGAATGTCCAACTTGCAGAGAAAGTACTCAAATTCTTTGTGACCCAATGCCTTTGTAAAAATGTCAGACAGTTAAACGGTAGTCGACACATAAGCAGGATGTATGCAACCATTTTGAATCTCATCCCGTACAAAATGGCAATCGACTTCAATATGTTTCGTACGCTCATGAAACACTGGGTTTGCGGCAATATGCAAAGCTGCTTGACTATCACAACATAATCGCATTGGGTTTGAATGCGTAACTCCAAGAGCCAATAACAATCCCTTCAGCCATTTCAATTCACATGTGGTCATGGCATAGACTAATACTCTAAATCCACTGAAGAACGAGCCACAATGTGTTGTTTCTTAGTTTTCCAGGAAATCGATGATTTTCCAAGCATAACAAACCACCCAGACAGAGAACGTCGGGACAAAGGGCAGTTCGCCCAATCTGAATCACACCATGCATATAACTGCAAATCACAATCTGAACGCAAGAGAATTCCTTGACCAGGATTTCCTTTCAAGTAGCACACCACTCGCAACGCAGCCTCCCAATGTCTTTTTTGTGGCTGTTGCATGAATTGGGACAGAACATGCATACAATAAGACAACTCTGGACGCGTTGCTGAGAGATAAATAAGTCTCCCCACCAAGCGTCTGTATTGCTCAGGATTAGATAAGAGGGCCCCGTCTGTCAAGGCGAGATTGTGATTCTGCTCCAGAGGAAAATAAGTAGGTTTTGCACCAAGTAATTCAACTTCAGAGATAATATCCAAAGCATACTTTCGTTGTGACAGAAAAATTCATGTTGAGTTTCGGGCAACTTCAATGCCCAAAAAATATTTCAATGATCCCAAGTCTTTCATATGGAAGCAGTCACTCAAATATTTCTTGAAGACTTGAATTGCCATACGATCATTACCTGACACGATAATATCGTCCACATATACGAGAACAAGCACATGCACCTTGTCCTGACGAAAGGTGAAGAGGGAGTAATCTGAACATGATTCCTAAAACCCATATGTCTTCAAGGCTGCGGTTAATTTAGCAAACCAACATCTCGGCGCTTGTTTCAAGCCGTACAGAGATTTTCGCAACCGACACACCATACCTGGTTTATCTAACTTAAAACCAAGAGGCATTCGCATGTAGACTTCCTCATGTAGATCACCATGCAAGAATGTGTTATATACGTCCATTTGATGAAGCTCCTAATTTCTAGCTGCTACGACTGCAAGGAAGGTACAGACAGTAACCATTTTTGCAATTGGGGCAAAAGTTTTATTATAATCAATTCCCTCAACTTGCTTGTTTCCAAAAACCACGAGACGAGCTTTGTATCTTTCCACTGTCCCATCAGCGTTATACTTGATTCGATAAACCCATTTGCATCCTATGGCTCATTTTCCTGATGGCAAAGGCTCAACAGTCCATGTCTGATTATTTTCAAGTGCCTGTATTTATTTCTGCATAGCATCCCTCCATTTTTCATCCTTTACGGCTTCAGCAAAAGAAGTGGGTTCAACTTCTATAGTGATAGCTGCCAAGAAAGCACGATGTCAACAAGAAAATTTGTTACAATTCACATAGTTATCTATGGGGTAAGGACTACCTGCAGAATGTGATTGGCCGAGTGAACTTGCAAAGGGACGCGAAGAGGGACTCAAGTGCTGTGTGGTGTGAAGCACATAATCTCTTAGCCTTGTGGACTGCTGTTTCTATCGATGCCCAGGCCCCAAATGAGTATCAGAGTGCTGTTGTTGCTCAACATTGCCACCCCCCCTAACGTCAGGTCTGTCTTCGCTTGCATTTTCTGTGGTGATGTCAGAAGGATGCAAGGGTGCATTGGTATTCGGGTCCACGTGGGTTCCTTCTTCTACACGGATTCCTTCTTCTGCGAGTTCATCTTGCTGGTTAGTCTCCGTCTTGCCATTTGCAAGTCCAGGTGAAGAAGTGGATGTACACCTTATTTGTCCCACTTATTCCACATCTTGTGCTTTGTTCGGCTATGCATCCTCTTTGTGTTCATACGGGAATTCATGCTCAAAGAAAGAAACATCTCTGGAAGCAAAGAACATGTCGGACTCTAAATCATATAAGCTTCATCCTTTCTTCCCAAAAGGATACCCGACAAAAACACACTGTCTGCTTCAACTAACAAATTTATCCCCACTATGACCAGGATTGTGCGCATATGCTAAGCAACCAAAGACTCGCACAATATCATAAGAAGGAGGTCGCCCAAATAACATTTCATGGGGAGTCTTTCCCTTTAACAGAATGGACGGTGTCCGATTGATCAGATAACATGCGGTCAAGACACATTCCCCCAAAAAACCAATAGGCAAGTTAGCTTGAAAGCGCAAGGCTCAGGCAACATTGAGTATGTGGCGGTGCTTGCGTTCAACCCTCCCGTTTTGTTGAGAGGTCCCGACACAAGTGGTTTGATGAATAATCCCACCTTTAGCAAAATAACCAGCAAAGCAGACAAACTCAGTCCCATTGTTAGTACGGATCACCTTGACAGGTTTGTTAAATTGCCTTTGAACCATAGCAAAAAAATTTCGAAGGACTCGTCCCACTTCCTTCTTATCAATCAGAAGATAAATCCAAATGCCTCTAGAAAAATCGTCCACTATGGTCAAGAAATAATGTGCACCACAGGAAGCTGCAGTTCTATAAGAACCCACAAATCACAATGAATTAACTCAAAAATATCGGATGCTTTATTATTACTAGGAACAAACTCTTCCCGACATTTTTTAGCTCAGAAGCATACATCACAACCCTTAATATTGCCAGTATGCTTAGTACGAAAAGGTAGCAATTTAATAATTCTATAAAAAGGATGCCCCAACCTTTGATGCCAAATATCTGACGTTCTGCTCTCTATAGTCTTCATTGCTCTTGCTGATGCAATGCTCCGGAAATAATAAAGTCCCTCTCGCTGCTCACCCGCTCCAATCAGCATCCTCGTAGTGCGGTCCTATATCACACAGAATTTGTTAGTGAACTGGACAATACAATTTGATTCCTCAATTAATTGTGATACAGAAAGTAAATTGCAATTCAAACTAGGCACATATAAAACACTAGTCAGTTTCAAGTGATCGTCCAGTGCAATTGTGCCTTCTTTTTCTACTATCGTCGCTTTCCCGTCTGGCAACCCGACAGAGCACGGAATGATATTCTTTATGTCTCTCATCGACTCGAGGTTTCCTATCATATGATGAGAGGCCCCTGTGTCTATTATCTATTCTGACAATTTTTGCTTTCCTCTTAGTCGTTGACTCCCTTCTTTTTGTGTGTTCAAAAGGTTGAGTAACATGTTCCACTGCTCACTGCTCAGTCCATTTAACTCGGTCTTGGCTACATCGATTGATTCTCCTTGAGACGTATTGCCTTGCGCAGAGGCTTTGGCTGTATTGGCCTTAGCTTGGCTGTCACGACCTTTTCCTCCTGCCCCTGTTCGTTGTTTCTGTCCACCACGCCCTCGGCCTGTCCCACGGGTATTATTTTTCGGCCGATCACCCCACCATTCAGGATAGCCGATCAGTTGGAAACAAGACTCTACATCGTGGCCTGTCTTGTTGCAGTGAGTACATATTGTGTTCTTGTCTCTGCCTTCGCTTTGCCTCTTTCCTGTGTGGGTTGCGAAGGCCACAGCTTCAGATTTCTCTTCCTTTGTGCGCGTCATAGTTTGAACTTGCTCTTCTTGAACCACTATGTCATAGGCTCGATTCAAATTTGGCAAGGGTTCCGTACTCAGTATATGCGAACGCACACCTCCATAGACCGTGTCATCTAGCCCCATCAAAAATTGATGAAGTTTCTCTTCATCTAGCTTCTTATCCCACGCCCTGCTTATGTCGCAGGTGCACTTGCCACATTGACAAGTGGGATATTGCTCATAATTTCCCAATTCCTCCCATATCATCTTGAGTTTGCCATAGTAATTCAGAATTGTCATACCTCTTTGTTGGCAATTCGCCAACTCGGATTTGAGTTGTTGGACTCGTGGTCCATTACCAACAGAAAATCGCTCCTTTATGTCATCCCAGAGTGTCTTCACAATCTCTGTGTATGTTACGGTTGAACGTAAATTTGGTTCAATCATATTCAGAATCCATGACACAAGCATGGAATTCACCATCCACCAATCTTCTAATTCCAATGAATCTTCCGAAGGTTGTTCATCGATCCATCGATGAAGCCGAATTTCTTCTTGGCTCACAGCGCCGTTCTTATTGCTCGAGCCCATTCATCATAGTTGTCACCTCTAAGTTGGATCTGTGTGATAACGCTCCCTGGATTGTCATTGGTTGATAGAAGATAGGGTGAGATCACATTCCTTGGACATTGACTGCCGCCTTGATCCTTGTTTTCAGCCATGTCGAGTATAGTGTTGGTGCCGCTGAAGAGAAACTGCTGCAGAACGTTGATTCGCCGGAAGAACTCTGCGAAAAATCACAGTGCCGCACTGATTTGGTCTGTGAAAAAACACAGCGCTGGACTGAAAAACACAGCTCAGAACGTTGTCGCCGCTGTTCACCAAATGAGATGATGAACAGTGATACTTTAGAAACCAGAAGAAGTGCCGCCGCTGTTCACCGAAGGAGACAATGATCACCGAAGTGCCGCCGCTGTTCACCGAAGGAGATAATGATCACCGAAGTGCCACCACTGTTCACCGAAGGANCCGAAGTGCCGCCGCTGTTCACCGAAGGAGATAATGATCACCGAAGTGCCACCACTGTTCACCGAAGGAGACAATGATCACCGAAGTGCCGCCGCCGGTCCGAAAACACAGCGCCGGACTGAAAAGCACAGCGCAGAACGTTGTCGCCGCTGATCACTGGTCCGAAGTGCTGCCGCTGTTCACCGAAGAAGATGATGAACAGTGATACTTTAGAAACCAGAAGAAGTGTTGCCACTGTTCTCCGAAGGAGACGATGATCACCGAAGTGTCGCCGCTGATCCGAAAAACACAGCGCTGGACTGAAAAACCATAGCACAGAACGTTGTCACCGCTGATCGCTGATCCGATGTCGCCGCTGATCACTGGTTCGAAGTCGCCGCTGATCGATCGTTGCTGCCGCCGTTGATCTCCAGAGTGCCCTGGCTCTGATACCATGTAAAACCAGAGCTTCTCTGGTTTCTACTGTCGTATTTTATTCACTAACAATACCCAAATATATACACTCGAGAGTCTCCTACGTATACAAGGATCGGAGACTCCTGATTCAATTACAATTACAACAGAGACTTTCAATCCTAATTGTAATCCATTGTAATCCTAACATATTCCGATCTATCCATCACATGGTGAAGGAAGTAAATGATATAACCAAACGAAAGAATGAAACGAGTGAAAGCAACTGAGAACCATTTCTCTTTTACTCTATTTCTAGATTCCCAAATTCTAATTTCTAGGTGCTCTCTGGTTTACTGCAGGGGTGCGTAGTGGCTCTACATAATTGAAATGTATGAAAAACCACGTACCTTTGAAAGAGCTAATGGCTATTCATCCTGTTGCCACTTAATAAAACATCTTATTAGTTTTCATCTTACATAATAGTTCTCTATCATTGTACTAAGAAGGCAAGAACTATTATTGAATTCCAGCATATATGCTTTGTTAATGTTTCTCCTTGTGAGGAAACGATTTTTCACTTTTCTTTCTTACTAACTAAGTGATATATGCAGCCTACAAACAGATTAAAAAGAAAATATGGTAAATATATATAATATGGATTTTATTCTTTTATTTTTAAGTGAAAAGAGGAACCTGTATCTGTGAGTTATGGGTTTTGGGAGTCGATGAGGATGAGTAGGAGCACCTATATATTTTCATACATACAGTAGTAGATTATTGAACTCTGAGAGTTGAGAACTCCATCAACTTTCTATTTCTCTCTTATTTTCTATAAATACAACCCAATTAATTAGTGAAATTAGGGAAGCTTGTAAGACAAATTCCACGCATTGCTATCACCTGAAAAAGATTCATGCCTAATCCATGGGTAATGGAGATTTGCTTCCCATTCCAAATTTTTTGTTTTTTTTTTTCATTTAAAGGAAGATCGATACTTGGAATTTATGAAATTAATTTTGCTGTGTGGAGGGAAGAAGAAGAAGGAGGAGGAGGAGGAAGAAAGATAAAGATGGAAACTGGAGGTGGATTCGGTGGCCTGAAGAGGAAGGAGATGAACACTATTTCTACCCTTTATTGATATTTTTTAAAAAAGTTACCCTATTCTCGAAATTATGTTAAAAAATATATTTTTATTGATAATAAGACCCAAAAGTTATCCTTGTCAGCTATAATCACAAAATAAAGTCAGACATATTGAATTAAAAAGCTTTTGCTCCTTTTTAAATTGTAGGAACAATTGTGATGGGTGACAAGGCTATACCTCATTGTTTTTATAAAAAAATTAGGTGTGGTATGAGGTGGCTTTAACATGGATCATGAAAAAATGATTATACCTACAATCTAATATGATCCAAAAGTTACCTCTTTACAAACAAGCCTAAAGCTTTCTGGTTATTGACAATGTCCCAAGTAGAACTTCTCAATTATATTAGCATTGTGTTCTCGCCTTTTTTGTTAGCATGTGTCTTAACCATAATGGACCCGTTTTTTGCTCCATAGAGCTTCACAACGAGGTAGTCCATCCTCCAAACTCATAACCCCCAGCCCAACCCAGGTGCAGGCAGGATTTGATCCAAAGTCTCTATTACAACCAGCAAGAGATCTTACCAACCAACCAATTGGCACTTTGCAATGGAATCCTTAAATCATTGAAGGAACAAAACATAAACTAGGGTTTTTTCTTTTTTTTTTTGTATTTTTAATCTCAACAAAAAGAGTGGTCTAACCATCTCTCTCTCTCTCAATTACGAGGTTCTCTAACTGTTTGTGGCTGAGACTTGGGATCAAATCCTGCTGCCACCAAGGTTGGGGGCTATGCTCTTTCCCTTGTATTACGTGAAAACTATTTTTCAAATGCAATACAATGAATATACATGTAATTAAACCAAATGTCATAAAAATATTGAAGAAATTTAATTTATGATATATTATATTGGCCACTTTTATAACTTCTCCAATTCTATAAATACAATTTATTTACTTTAGACTGATTTCTATAAGATGTTTTATTGTACTAGGTAACTACACCCTTTGCCATCACCAACTGAACCAGCTGGGGGACATTCTATATGAACCAAGTTAATTATTACATAGACATCCGCCCCATATCTAAGCTATATATTCTCTCATACGAGTTGCTCAAGTATAAGTGGCAATCCATGGGCAGGTCTAAGAGAGAGCATAATGGTAGGAGAGTGATGATAGGTAGGAGAGAGGGAGAAAGAAAAACTAGTAAGGATGAGGGTCAGAACAATCTTGTATTCCATCATGGCCAAGTTCCTGCCCACACACATTCTCCCTCCAAACCCAAAAGGCACGAACCCCATTTTGTACTTGCATCCCCCATTTATGTCTCCCTTAAACCTCTCTGGTCTGAACTCGTTCACGTCGTCTCCCCAAAGAACTGGATCATGGTTCATTCCCACTATGTCGATCCACATGTTGGTTCCGTTGGGGATGACAAAATTCCCAACTCGAATGTCTTCTCTTGCTTGCCTCTGGCTGTTGGGTCCCGCTGGGTATAACCGTAAAACCTCGTTCATAACCCAACCCATCTGTAGTCAAGTTCATATATCGATGAGTAAACGCTATCTATCTCTGTTTTGAAAATTATTAATGATCAGTTGACACAGCTTACAAATCAAACCCATTAATTTGCAGGTGGAGAGGATCGGAGCTTACTTTCTTTAGTTGAGCAACCATTGTGGGATCCAAGGGCCTATCTCCAACTACTTGTTTGATTTCTTCTCTCAGCTGGTTTTGCCATTCTGGGTGCAAGGCCAACAGAAATAAGGTCCACGTCAGTGCCAACGCCGTGGTTTCGTGGCCGGCGAAGAAGAACGTCTTGCACTCGTCGATAAGCTCTTGATCGGAAAATTTTTTCCCTAGTTGACCATCGCCGGCGGACTTCTCTTCCAGCAGAAATCCCAGCAAGTCGTGTTGAGGATGATCCACATCCACCACAGACATCTTCCGATTAGTTATCATCGATAAGAGCAGTTGGTCGACATCCTTGGATAATTTGATCAACTCTATGGTCTGCTTGAGGTATACGATATTGTTGAAGGGAACTCCCACCAAGCGATTCGACTTGAAAAGAGTAAGGTGCATGGCTCTCAATTTCGTGAACACTTCCTGGCTGATTCGGTAGTCGACGCCGAAGGCTGCCCTAGCTATGATCTCTGAATATGTTCTCATGATGTCTTTCTCGACATAGATTTCTGGCTCGCCGGAAGCGATGAGACTAGTCCACCGGTCGATCATCTTAGTGGCAGACTCCACCATCATGCTTCCCATAGCCTGCAGGTGGGGTTAATTAATGAGTATAAAAGCAAAAACACTAACGTAAGGTAATTAGAGGTTTTCCGATTAGACTGCTTAAAGGAAAGGTCACAAAGAGATGATAATTGAGAGAAGGAATTGATATAAATTTTGGATGCTTTAATTATTCAATTATATGGTTTTAAAATTCCATATATAAAAACAGCTGAATAATTTCAATCAAAATGAAAATATTTCTTTTTAGCATTAATCCGATTGAAACTATTCTGATCAAACTTTGGTAATTTATCCAGTGTTGGTATTTGTAGCAGCTGCTACGGAGACGCACCGGAATGTATATATAGGTAAAGGTTTTTAAAACCGACGCCAACGTATTGGTCAGGGATTTGGTTCCCGGGTCGAATGGTCGGCTCATTCAGATAAAAAATAAAACAAGTAAAAAATGGTCAAAATCGTTTGAATGGTTAACAAGGTAATTTTGGCCCTGTAATGCATATATTAATATAGGAAAAATCTAAGATGTCGGAAAGGCATAATATCGAAAATATATACTTCTACCGATCAAGTGCCCATTCCAACAGCCTTGCATCAATAATATTTCCGTACTCTGCTTTATTTTATGGGGAGACCAATGCGAGTTCAAATCTGTGCCTCACAAGGGAGCGCCTCACAACGTCCTACAGTACATTTCCGCCCTGTGTTATGAACATCTCCCGATAATACTATCAGTCTCAATGATATCATCATTGGGAGATGTTCCCAATACATGGTGGAAATGTATTGTGAGGCACATATGTGAACTCGATCAATGTAAGGAAATAATAATTGTTCGAACAGATTTTGCACCGACTGAATCCGGTTTTCAAAACCTCATGAATTTTGATGAAAATCCTTATCATTGGTCACCACTTTTATGATGTCGGATCAGTATGATATCTTTTTCACATCATAGTTGATGAACTCATTTAGAAGGGCTTCTGCATTTTGATTGAACCGTTGCATAGAAGCAAATGGTTGAGCGTCTCTGTTCTGGATAAGCTTTTCCCAGTAGCTTTATTCAATAATCATGAAAGTAGCACTCGTAATAAGGTGCCAACGGGTTGGTTGGTAAGGTCTAGTAATAGAGATTTGGAAAAGAATCCCGCCTGCACTTGGGTTGAGGAATTTATGGGTTTAAGGGATGACGGTAATACCAAATGAAAAAATATATATATTTCTACAATTCTACACCTTTTTCTACATTTAATTTGTAGTATGCAGTTTTGGTCCCAATTGGGTACTACATATGTTAGACCTTGTTTGGTTAGTGGGTGAGAAAGACAAAGTACACTACATAGACCCATTGGCATTATTACGTTGACATTGTATGCCAATGGGCCACATGTGCACCCTATTATCAACCCTTAACCTACTAATTAGGTCTAACATATAGCACATCGCCCCTACTGAGCTAAAGCCGATGCCAAAAGAGGGATAAGTGATCAAGCTAATATGTCACAACTGTTTTAAAAACCGACGAATTAATGGGTATATGTATGTATGTAAACAAGTATCATATCAATAAAATAATGTATAATTATATCCTACATGCAGAGTTTGCAGATACATGTATTTATGTTTAATTTATATTATTTTAATTATTTATTTATTATTTAAAAATACTAAAATTAGGATTTAAGACTAAAAAAGGGTTTTTTTTGAAAAAAAAACATAGTAGAACAAGGCACCTTTGGCCTTTGGATGCATAGGTCTCAAAAAAAATCTTAAAATCAACATAAAGATCCCCTTAATTGGGCAACCGGACACGAAGTTATGGACCCATATAGTGGTTAACCCATGACCCATGATCGGGTCAAACAAATCAATGGTTGAACCACCTAGATCAAACGGTTTTAACCGAATCAATAATATTTCCTAAATTTTATGAAAATCAGACCTAAAATCAAAAGGTGATGGTTCAAATTATTCAACAACCCAAATAAATGGCGGGTTGAAAACACTGATAGGTCATTGGCCTATGTCGTCCTACACAGCGTTTTTATGAGTTTCAATATATTTCTACGAATTGATTCAATTTTCATAAGAAACAAAGTTTAAAATGTTGGTTATAATAATAGTGCAAACTCTTGATAACACAAACCCGGCCATTATTCCACATAGGGATACAAACAGATTGGATCGGATTTAAATCAGGATATATTTGAATCCAATCCAATATTGTTCATGTCGGATCTGTCCCAATCCAATCAAATTTGATAGGATTCGATTTGAATTCGAATCCAATCGGTAAGTTGATATTTGGATCTGATCCGATTCGACTTGCTTTCTTTAAAAATTAATAAATTATTAAAAAATAAAATATACTAATTTAAATAAAGTAAATTATTTTATCATATATATTCATGTTTTTTATAAAAAAATAAATAATAAAACAAATTTATAAAAATATAATATAAAAAATATATTTATAAATAAATAAATAACATATATATTATATATATTTCTATTTATAATTATATAATATATATCAGATGGGATCTTCTCAAATGGGTGATCCGAATCCAATCTGAAGATTCGAAAAGCATGATCCGAATTCAACCAAACAAGATTGAATATCGAATCCATTTACACCCCTAAGTCCACAGATTCTATACTCGCTCTGAGTTCTGAATGAAGGACGCGTAATCAGGTTAACTGGTTAAATGTCGGCCTGAATTAAAAAAAAAAAAAAAGAAATAAAATAAAATTCAAGCCGCAATACTGATTCCTCCACGTGCCTCACTGAGGTGATCGACAGTTTTTAACTTTTTTTATCTTTTTGTATTAGTATTTTTTCTTTTTTTTTTTCTTTTTGACGCGAACTTTTTCTTATCTGAATGTCGGCCTACAGAAGTTTTGAGAAATAAGGGAGCATGGCCATGTCGACCGGTTAAAAAGAGCTACAGCTCTTCCCATGTAGTTAAGTGTGGGAGAGCACTTTTATGTGGGTGTACCGTGTACCCCACTAAAAGCCCTAAAGACCGGTAAAACGATCTTTGGGAATTGATGCAGAATTTTGAATTCCAGCCCCCCTACTAGCCCTCTCTCCCCCTATAAATCACATGCTGTCGATAAATTTGACATCAATTCACGGTCAAGATGCATTTCTCTATAGTCTCTGTTGTTTTGCTTTTCAATGGCCAAAACCATCATCTTCAATGTCAATAATAATAAACTATGATCATAGGGTGTCTTCTATTTTTCTTATAAAGATGCCTTAAAAAGGATCGTTGTTTGTAGAATAAAAATTCAAATAATGAATTAGATAAAAGCTTCTAGACTTTTTGTTCGTCACACAGGAGAATTTGTATTGGCGTCCTTTGAGAACATTTTTTTTTGTATTTGTCAAGATTCAAAGTAATGACATGTATCGGTTCATAGTGGCCAATGCTTATCATGCCGGTGACTTCTTGACACATCTCTATAGAGATTTTAACGGGTCAGCCACTGATTCAGAGGATAGTCGAGTCTTAAACTGGCCCCTCTAAACCGATTTCAAAAAATAAATAAATAAAACATAAAAAAAAAAGCATCGATACAGGCTGATACGGCCTACCAGCCTATCTGCCTGTGTCAATGTTTAGAACCATGACACTTGTCATTAGAAGATATTTCCAATACATCCATGGATGTGTTCTGGGGTGCTGATATATGGGGCACCGATGCCAATTCCACTTAGACTTAGGGTGCCTCACACCAACCCCATATTACATTAGTTGTGAATTAGAACATCTTCCCATGACCAAAAACATTAAATAAAGGGAAATATTGTCAATGCATAGCTGAAAATGCTGTGAGGCACATTCTGTGAAGAACAGATCCAAATTCAGTAAAACTATGAAAAATCATAGGCTCGTAATTTTCAAAGGCCCAAACTTTTACGGTTTAATGTATACTACCTCTGTGAGTGTAACAGAGAGAGAGAGAGAGACCTTCAAGTTGTTTGGCAAGAATACAGGTGTTATAGTGTGCCTGTGGTGAACCCAGTTATCTCCTTCCACCATAAGAAGTCCATTTCCAAACAAGGGTTTCCTGTCCTGTTTAAACACATTAGGCTTTCCCCACTTCTTGCCTATAACGCCTGAAGACATCTGTGTTAGAAACTCAGGATCTGCAATATATAAGAATGGCTCAATGCCAAGCCAATAGACGAAAACTTTTCCTGCAAAAAGATAACAAACCAATTTAAGCAAAACCAAACCAAAGTAAAAGAAAGTGAAGAAAACAGAAACACACATATGCTAGGACCAAGTTGCAGCGCCACTGCATGTAATTCAAATAATCATGAAACCATCCGTTTTCAGATTTGATTGCTGGAGTGTTCACGTTGTATTGGGGTCGCAACAAAGTACTTGACCATGAACATGAACACTCCAGCCCCAGAAAGGTTTGGTGCTCTGTTTTAAATTTGAAACAAATGGCAAGCGTCCAACTTTTATTGGATCGTGTCTCCAGGATAGACCTGAGCCGAGACTGAGAAAGTGGTCGCAACAGATGAGAACCTGAGTAATCAATCTCGTGAGACATGGCAGTAAGTTGTATTTTTGAAAGCTAACTTACCGTGTAATTCTCTCCACTGAGAAAAATAGGGAAAAATAATTGGGTAGATATCATGGCTGATGTATTCCAAAGAAGGTGAAGAAGAGCGAATCTTCTTCTTGGTCATCGTCATTTCTCTGATGTTCCCCAGAGGAAAACATGGAATGGGACCTCCGAAACCACTCTTTCGGAGCTTATTATATGCTCGAGTGGGCAGAACCCAGCATATGAAGAATGCTTTCCAGAGCACGAAGCTGAGAAGGATTGTCATGGCTAAGCTAAGAGGTTTGATCAGTAGCTGATAAAGAGGCTCCATCTCTCCCTTTCTCTATCGTATGTTGTTGGTGCAGAAGCCATGAATAAATTAAAGGGGTATTTATAGAGAGGATTAAGCTCATTTAAGATCGTGGAGTTTGACTTTGTGGAACATTACTGTCGTAACTAATAATTTAATCTAATTCACGAATAGGAGTGAGAGTCGTCCTGGTCCTGGTTAAATCACCTACGGGAAAAAGCATTCAATCCTTTCTTTCAGACTTTTTTGTCTTTATTTATTTGTCATTGTTTGTTCTACGGCGGTTTTATATTATGAACCCTTCGGTCCACCTTTTATACGGTGTCTCCAATAAAAACCCGCCACGTCATCTTAAAAAATAGGACTGGGAATTAACGGCAATTAGATGAAAAAAATATATATTCTTTTCATCGGCAGAGCTCCTCCCTCCATCTGTCTCTCTCTCTCTCTCACTCACTGCCACCGCAATTCTTCTCTCTCCTCTCTTCTTCAATTCCCAATCTGTCAAACATAACCAGTACAGATCGTCCACCGTCAATTATTCACCAAGTTCTCTGCATTAGCTGCCATCGACGTTAACTAACCAGCCAATCCCATCAATCTGATTACCCATTGAACAACACCGTCGCCATTGGTAAAGAATATTTGCAACTAATAGCCGAAAAAAAGGGAAATGATGACTGAGTTTTCGTGTCGTGATGAAAGCTTCCAAAACAGCTCAGTCTGTTTTTTCTTCGTTATCAACGTGATTGAGGTGGTATTCACAATTCTGATCACTGATATCTGTAGTTCGTCATTTGTGTATTTGTGTTTGAATGGATCCATGTTTTAATTGTGTCTAAAATACTTCTATGATTCGATCATTTAAAAATAAGGCTATATTTGTTTTCGGTGTAAATGCAATTTTACATCGATATATCGATATAGTTGAGATAGGATGATTCGGTGAGAGTGTAAAACATGGATAAACCATTATTTATTTACACTCGTCCTGTTTGATTAGAGGTTACCCAGTTTTCTGGTTTGTTGCAGTATGAGATTTTTCTAAAAGAGAGAGAAACGAAATGAGATGAGAAAATCAGTAAAGAAGAATTATTAGAAACTCAGCAAAAAGCTCTTAATCTTCTTCGACGTCAAAGCATAACCAACTACGAGTTTCTGCGGATGCGGAAACCCAAGACCGATGGAACACGACTGTGAATTCCTGTCGTTCTCCTTCTCCCCCTCATTTCAATCGTTGAAAACGCCCACAATAACAGAAAATGTTCGATTTGAAAAACACAAGGCCCCTCGAAACGAGGAACTGCAGATCGAGCTCTGTTAAAGAAAATCCTAAAAATGTGAATCCATAGCTTCCGCTTGTTTTCGTCTCCGCTTGTTTTTGTGTTGTCTTAGAATTGATGTTTTCTGATGGAGGATGATTTGACTCGAAATGATGACATGTGGACCTGATTCAGCACGGGCAACAACTCTGCATCATAGTCTAATCACGACTAAGTAACGAGCCTATAGAGAAGCTTGCTACGATATAGTTCGCTGTGGAGAGAGCTCGCTACAATACGAGCTCCAGATTCCCCGAGCTACCAAGAAGGGAATGCTCCTGCTATTTTAGCTCGCGAGCTAGAGAAACCAGCTCGCTCCAGCCCTTAAACGAAAGAATCATTCCAGTGACCAATCTTAACAAAGGGAACCCCGAAGTACTCCTAAGCTCGCTACAAAGTAGTTCGCAAATGAGCAGCGCGAACGTTCTCAGGAAGCTTCTATCTGACAAACCGTACCGATCAGACTGTGCCACGTCTCTCGACTGACGGCGCGGCCCCTGTCCTTTCAACAGTCTACACCCGCGTCTCTTGGCAGGAGAAGGCGCGCCTGTCCCTTTGGGACATGTCACTCATCCGAACAGGAAGTACGTTATAACGATCACCTGTGCAGTCCTGGCGGGTAGCGGCCGCGACAGGGGCCCAGTGGCGGTTATGCCCGATTTGACAGTAGCCCCCTATAAAAGCCTCTGAGGCAAAGGAGAAGGGCTCTCTCTCTTAGACTTTTGAATACTTCCGCATTCTCATATCCTCAACCTGAGTTTTTACTTGCTCGCGAGCTCATCTCTCGAGCATAGTGATAAAGCGTGACCTACACTCTTAACTTCCGCACTCTCTTTTTTCTCTTTCCCCAACGTTCTGACTTAAGCTTCGGAGTATTCCCAACGGGTAAATCCCCGGGAATCCTTCTTTCCACCATCTTAGGTGCCGTCCGTTGCCAACAAGGAGCCAACCAACAGCCAGCTAGGAGTGCCCGGATCGTGCCGCATCATTTTCTACTTCAGATTTGACAAATAAAGTAGAAGGTCGCTAGACTTATAGCGGGAACTTGGAGTTAGGCGGAAGGAGAGGAGTGTCAGTTAGCAATGGCGAGAGAGAGAGAGAGAGAGAGAGAGAGATAGCGAGAGGCGGAAGGAGAGGGTTCTCCCTTCGGAGGTGGGTTAAGATCTGTCGTTGCAACTAGTTGCAGCAGCGGTGACAGTGAAGAATCAATTTTTGGTTAAGTATCGATTTTTTGGCTAACTACCTCGTCATTTGGTCTGCTTCCAAGTGGCCAATGACTCAGGCCGAAGTGCCGAGCTGACCAGGTGGCGAGCTGCCTATGAGGTGTCGGGCTGACCAGGTGTCGAGTTGCCTGTGAGGTGCTGGGCTAACCAGGTGTTGAGCTACCTGTGAGGTGTCGAGCTGCCTGTGAGGTGCTGGGCTGACCAGGTGCCGAGCTGCCTGGTGGCGAGCTGAATTGATGAGCTTCGTTGCACTTTAGAGACCTACAAGGAACCAAATGTCAGAGGACCCGGGGTGGCTAACCCGGAGAGGTCGCTCCGATGCTTAAGTCAGTACTCTCATAGTAGACTGCGAGCTAAAGATCACAAAGTCTGAGAGCTAGAACTTGCTTACTTGCTTGCTTGCTCCCCCCTTGCCATTGGGGTTGGTGCCTTTATATAGGCATTGTTTGGTGTGAGCTTCACGCACCATATCCGAGATTTTTGCGAGGTCGTCTAAGTGGTTCAAGATTTCTGGAGATAATCACAATGCACGTTGACCACCCTCTAGATCGTTCGGCATGTGGGCCAACTTCTAAGGACCGTGGGAGTGTTAGGATATGTATGCCAAATTTGTAGGTGAGCACGTCTCATAGGTCGACAGGTCGGCGCTTGTGCTAGGCCGCCAGGTCGCGCCTGGGCCAGGCCGCCAGGTCACGCATGGGCCAGGCCGCCAGGTCGCGCCTGTGCCAGGCTGTCAGGTTGCGCCTGGGCTAGGCCGCCAGGTCGATGCCTATGTCAGGCCGCCAGGACGTGCCTGTGCTAGGCTGCCAGCTCACGCCAGGGCCAGGTCGTGCCTGGGCCAGGCCGCCAGGTCGCGCTAGGGCTAGGCCGCCAGGTCGCGCCAGGGCCAGGCCGCCAGGTGGGACACCATCAACTTGGCTAAGGTAACTTGTTGCCAAAGTGGTTCTAGGTGTCACCTAGTTGTTCCGAGGTGCCATGTGTCACAATATCATTGGAGGCCCAAATCCGCCCTCGTCATTTGCCCCCCACCCCCGAGCAGAAAGTAACTCAGCGAAGGGAGTAGATTTCTCCTTTTGGTCTGGAATGAATAATTCGATGAGCTCATAAGCATCGATTCAATTCCTTAGGCTTTAGGAGTGACTCGCAGTCTGCTCCTTGATTTTGCCCATGCCGAAGAGGTGACTGGGTCTTCGCTAGTTCGGTATTTTGTCCCTTAGGCTCTGGGAGCGACTTGTAGTCCACTCTCCTTGATCTTGCCCATGCCGAAGAGGCGACTTAGTCTTATGTGGTATTTTAGCTCTTAGGCTCTAGGAGCGACTCGTAGTCCACTCTCATTGATCTTTGATTTTTTCCATGCCAAAGAGGCGACTAGGACTTGTATGCCCATGCCGAGGAGGTAACTGGGACTTATCGTAGTGTCGATGTCTTTTATCAGTTCGCCAATTCGCGCCTGTGCTCGGCCGCCAGCTCACGCCTGGGCTAGGCCGCGCTAGGTCTGCTCCTTAAAGCTAACGGTTACGCTGCATCAGCCTCGTTAGTGACGTCAGTTACCCACTCCTACAAGAAGCTACTAGGAGCTCGACCTACGGGGGCAACACTACTGACTTTAGGTCACCAGTTCGCACAGAAGCCTTGGAAGGCTCGACCGGAAGGGGCGTCCATGCAGTCTGTTGGCCACTTACTCCCGCGGAAGCCATGAAGAGCTCATTTTTGTAGATGGTACCTCGCGAAGAGGACTATTGAGGCTTTGGTAGAGTTGCTTAGTCTATTGGCCATCAACTTCCTGCATAGTCTTTGAGTTCTTAAAAAATGGAAACTAGAAAGTGAGAGCTTTTAGTTTCTAAAAGGTGAGAACTTAGATTTCTGGAGGAAGAGGACTTAGCCTTTCGGAGGATGAGAACTTAGCTTTTTGTAGCGTTTCCCACAGACGGCGCCAATTGAAGAATCAATTTTTGGTAAAGTATCAATTTTTTGGCTAAGTACTTCGTCATCTGGTCTGCTTCCAAATGGCCGATGACTTAGGCCAAAGTGCCGAGCTGACTAGGTGGCAAGCTGCCTGTGAGGTTCCGAGCTGCCTGTAAGGTGCTGGGCTGACAAGGTTCCGAGCTGCTAGGTGGCGAGCTAAATTGATGAACTTTGTTGCTCTTTAGAGACCTGCAAGTAACCAAATGTCAGAGGACCCGGGGTGGCTAACCCAGCGAGGTCGCTCCGATGCTTAAGTCAGTACTCTCATAGTAGACTACGAGCTAAAAATCACAAAGTTTGAGAGCTAGAACTTGCTTACTTGCTTGCTTGCTCCCCCCTTGCCATTGGGGTTGGTGCCTTTATATATGCATTGTATGGCGTGGGCTTCACGCACCATATCCGAGATTTCTGCAAGGTCGTCTAAGTGGTTCGAGATTCGTAGAGGTAACTGCCATGCACGTTGACCACCCTCCAGATCGTTCGGCACGTGGGCCAACTTCCAAGGATCGTGGGAGTG